GTATAAGGGAATTCAATTCAATCAGGAATGGTCTCATTGGGGAATGGGTGACTTTTTTGTAGTTGCTTATGTTTTTGTGAGTTTTAAAAAAATTTTAATTGGGGCAGCTAGAGCATGGGTCCTGAAGTCAGGAGGACCTGAGTTCAAATCCGGCCTCAGAACAAACACTTGACACTCACTAGCTGTGTGGCCCTGGGCAAGTCACTTAACCCCAATTGCCTAAAAAAACAACAACAACTTATGGAATAAAATGAAATGGGACGGGTGACTTTTTAAGAATGACTTGAACTGTGGGGTTGGCACGAGTTGTATGGCGTTTGTATGTACTGGGCCAAGGTTGCTCTCACAAGGCCATGATACACCTTAATCATCTTGCTTCCAACAACATGTTAGAAAGGAATCAGATTAAGAGCTGTGATCAGACATTTCTTCGGAACACGGCTGTGGACAAGAGTTAGTTAACAGGTCTATTGGTGGCCCAGACATCACCAAGCACTTTGTGACATTAGTTCATCATAGGAACGTGAATTCTTTCCGGGGAAAAATGGACCAACACCCAACAATCCACAGATTGGCAGGCTGCCCCCCCACCCCCTTTTGGCAAGATATATGTTAAAGCTTCTGAACTTGGATGTCAATATGGACTTCCAAGGCCTGGATTACCCCACTGTCATTCACAAAAAAAAAAATGCTAGTGTGGGTGTTCAGGAAGAGATACATCTTCAGCTTAGGCTGGGCCACTCTGGAAACTGCACGGGGCAAGATATGGCTTATTGGATCATTGGCTAAAGCAGACCCATAGCCCCAGGTACACCATGCTCCATGAGGAACAAGGTGAGTCAGTGCGGCCCTTCAGTAACCCAGTGAAAAATAAACCTGGAAGTTAGAAACGTTGATGTGACTCTTCACAAGAGGTGGGGTTAGTAACACAAGGGTCTGTGAGTACTGCGGACTAGCTCACCCATATTAATCACTTAGGAAGTTTCAATTATTGCGTTAGCCAGCAAGCAAGCAAGACAGAAAGTCTCCTTCTCTGCCCACGGTTCTGAGGAAGAGAAAAAGATAGGAAGAAGTGGCACTGACAAAGACCAGATGGAAAGGAGAGGGCTGGTTACTGGGACTTTGACAGAATTTAGTATGCTATTATCAATTAATCAATCAATAAACATTTATTAAGCACCTAATTAAGCCTAGTATAGCATCTCGGTATGTTCAGAAGAGCCCAACACAGTACTATTGCTCCCTGGGGGACTATAGAGGTCCTCTGGTCCAACTCTCACATTTTACAGATGGGGAAACTGAGTCAGGGAAGGGACTTGCTCAAGGTCTCACAGACAGATGAGCTAGGATCTGAATCCACACTCTCAGACTCCAAGTCTAACTCTCCTTACATTCTAATACACCATCTCCATTAAAAAAAAAAAGAAATAGAATAAATCTACTATACCTATTTCTCAAGGAACTGAGATAATGAAGACAACAGACTATAGCTGAGTACAGGTTTAAAAACTGGGCACATGCAAGTTGACTGTGCTGAAGGCAGACCTTGGTGAGTTCCCACTAACCAAGTCAGTTCAGTTATTCTAGCCAAGCCAAGAATTCAGACTATTTAGAAAGAGGATTATGCATTTCTTTCCTAGAGCTTAAACTAAGCCAAAGGCAAGAGGGTTCCTTTCCTCCTGCCTGCCCAGGAGAAGAAAAATGAACCCCAATGTTTTTCAAAAGGGGGGAGGGGATATGGAGAAGTATCTACTTGGGTTTAATTTTAAAAGATAGAGTCTGGGGTTGCAGACAACATTTTGAATAAAGTAAGCAGAAAGCAACTGAGGGTATAAGGTACTAAAAATTATTCTTCCTCTGAATTACTGGCTCCATAACTTTGGTATTCTGGGCGAGGGACATAGCTGAGACCCCAGTGAGGACTTTTTTGCCCCAAATAAGCTACCTCCCCCCCAAAAAAAGGGCTCAGCAAAGTAACAGACAAGTTTCAGTAGTCTTAACGTTTCAGATCTGCTGGTGTGTTCAGACTGGCTTTTTGGCAGTGGGAAGGGGGTTTAGAGTTACCCCAGCTTGGGGAAAGAAGAGGCCAGAATGAGTAAGACAAAGACAGAGACTCCCAGTGATTCAGAAAATGTGCCTCGGAGCTCATCTCCACCCCCCACCCGCTCCAGGAAGGGAGGCTTACTCATTCTTGAAACAAAGATTTCTCTGTCACAGAGCCTGAGGTGAGAGGGATGTTGGGCCAGATGAGGTACCAGTCAACCTCTGGGCTCCTTGAAGAGCTCCCAGATCTTTCAGAAGGGAGCATCGGCCCATCCTTCCCCAGCTCCTAAATGACTTGTCATGACTTCCCCAAATCGAGGAGAATGGGGGAAAAAAAACAAAACAAACGGATTATCCAGGAGCCCTATCACAAAGAGACTTAGTGATGGAAGGGTTCTAGTCCAATCCCCTCATCTTACAAAGGGGGAAACTGAGTCCTACAGATAAAAAGGGATTGGTCTGAGCTCACAGGGCTGAGTACCAGAGCTGGGGCTAACACTCAGAGTGTTTATCTGTTAGACCACATGGCCTTGTAGTAAAGGAAAGTCCCTCTCTTCCTGCTGCACCGCCCACCCCACCCCCTCAGCTGCTATCCTGCCCCCGCCTCAAAAATTACTTTACATCAGTTGTCAGGATTTTTTTTTAATGAGATCTGTGATTTCACTGGTATAAGGAAATTCTGAAATGCCACCTACCTAAGGCAGATCAGTATCCTCAAACCTTAGAGATGTGACTGAGGCCCTGAGAGTTTTAAGTGATCTGTCCAGGGTTACATGTTGGAGGACTGCTCCTAATGCCTTCCTTTCCAGAGACAGACATTGGACTTCCAGCTCCCTCCTCTCTGCGCCTGCTGCTTTCTCTGGTTTCAACTCCACCGAATAAGCTAGCCCCTGCTGTCCTTACTGTCACCCCCATGCTGGCTCCCTTTTGTGCGTAGTCTTCTCTCTTAGACCGTAAGCTCCCCGAGGGCAAGAGCTGTCTTTTTCTTATTTGTAGCCAGCACTTGGCACAGTACCTGGCACACAGCAGGCGCTTAATAAATGTTTACTGAATTGAACTGAAAGAAGGAGGACTTGAACCCAGGTCTTCCTGACTCTGAGGCCTGGCCTCTCATTATTTATTTATTCTTTAGATACTTTGTAACTACTTAGCACCTTGTTTCCTCCCAGTAGAATGTCAACTTCTTGAGGGCAGGGATGGTTTTGTTTCTTTGTCTTGGCACCCCCAGTGCCAGCACACAGCAGCCACTTAATAAATGTTTGAATTGAATAACTATGCAACATTTTATTCATCCAATTGAACTAGCAGGTCCTCAACAGATAGGGGTTGAACTGAACTGCTGTTCCGGTGATTCAGTTGGGTTTTTTTTTCAGTCATGTCTGACTCTCTGTGACCCATTTGGGGTTCTCTTGGCAGAGATACTGGAGTGATCTGCCATTTCCTCCTCCAGCTCTTTTTACAGATGAGGAAACGGAGGCAAACAGGGTGAAGTGACTTGCCCAGGGTCACACAGCTAGCAAGTGGCTGGATTTGAACTCAGGTCTTCCTAAGTCCAGGCCCAGCGCTCTGTCCATTGAGCCACCCAGCTGCCCTATTAAAGGGAATTGTTGTCGTTGTTCACTGAGCACCTACTAATTCAACAAATAAAATGTTGCCTAGTAATTCAATTCAACAAACATTTATTAAGGATATACTGTTGAATAGGCACCGTGCTGGACATGGGGGAGGACACCGATGGAAAAATAAAAGGACCAGGCACCAATAAACCAGTCCCTTCCCTCAGGGATCTTACATTCTACCAGAACTGATTCTTGGTTACGATGCATAATTGAAAACGTTTGAGAACTGTATTTCAATAAACATGGTAAGTGCCCATAATTTTACATTTGGACGTTTTCTGCACTTAGATCTTTCATTAACTCAGACTAGCCTCCCTCTCCCCTCCCTGCCCCACAACCCCCCACCCCATTCCTCACCCACTTGGTTGTACTGTCTTGAGCTTTTCTTTAGCTGAATGGTTTGCTCACTTCCATGCGGGAAGGGGGAGAAGGTGTCCAAGTCAACTCCTTCCCAGCCCTTCCCCTAATTCCTGAGAGGTGTAATCTGCCTCGACAGCTGGCAGGAGTACCCACCTTGATGGAAAGCAGGGCACAGGGCAAGTACCAAATTGAGTTTTTGGTCTAGTGTATTCTGTCTACTCTAGTTTGTGAAGGCCCCACGAAGCCTGTATGACTCTGAAAAGACAATACTTTCTGCATGAGAAGCCTTGCTTTAGAGATTCTCATGGGGGTGGCTGCTCACTTCAGGTATGGGAAAAAATGTGATGGCATCTTGGAGGTTTGCTAAGACCCTACCCAAACCAGGGGTTCTTAACCTTTTTCGTGTCCTGAACCCCCTTTGGCAAGTCTGGTGAAGCCTATGGACCCCTCCACAGAATCCTGCTTTTAAATACATTAAATAAAATCCATAGGAATCAAAAGGAAACCAATTCTAGTGAAATACAGTTATCGAACTGTTGAGTTTTTTTTTAAATAAGTTCACAGGCCCCAGGTCAAGAATCCTTGTCCTAGACTAAGCGCCAGATGTCCATATGCAAAACCCATTTCAAGTTACTGCCAGGAGTGCCTCTGAGATATCCAGAGAAGACGGAAGTCCAAAGGGCAAGGAGCAGAAGGAAAGGCAGGGGGTCTTAAAGAAAGCCATGGAAAGTAGAAGCAGCAAAGTCAGTTTCTCGTCCCGTCCCTGCCACAAAGAAAGACTGAGAGAAGGCTCCTGGAATGGCATAGGGATGGGCCCACCAGCCTAAGCAGCTTTCCTCCGCGGAAGGGACCTGTCCAAAGCCCGGGAAGGACCAGCCGAGGATGGGCTCTAGGTCCGTCCTTCCCCCTCCCTCCAGGGCATAAGCTGGCGGGGAGGCCAAGAAGGTTAGCAGAAGCACAAGCTGGGCCGGTACTAACCTGATTCTTAATGATGAGGATGAGAGTGATGATGATGAAAAGACAGCCCAAGGCATTTAAGACGTACTGAAAGTACTGTGCCAGCTTGGGCATCAAGACCAGTCTGTTATAGAACGATTTGAGGGTCTGGCCTTCCATGGCACCACGCTAGAAAGCAAGAAGAAATAATGAGTGGGCCAATGGGGCATGGCCAACATGTACCCCTCGGGGGCGGAGAATACAACAGGACAGGAAGCTTTCCATTTTACAAACCCAGTCCACCAGCACGGAGGAAGCTTCTACTATGGCTCCAGACAAGCGTGCTAAGCACCAGGGATACAAAGAAAGGCAAAAACAGTCCTTCAAGGAGCTTGTGGTCTAATGGCAGAAACAGCATGCCCATGCAAACAACCATACACACATACATACATACACACACACACACAGAGGCAATTTAGAAATAATCTATATATAATATTATATATTTATATATTGTTTGTATATATCATATTTATTTATGATATATAAACACATATATTTATGTTTTATATTTATATATAAATAATACATCTATATATTCTGATGGGCCTCAGAAAGCTAATTTAATACATAACCATGAGAGAGGTCCCCTCTATTTCAGGAGTTTGTAAACCTTTTTGTATCATAGCCTCCTTGGGCAGTCTGGTGAAGCAGAATCATGTTTTTAAATTCATAAAAATGCAGAGGATTAACCAATTATATCAGATATATTTTATGTACATATAATGGATATATAGTATATTATGTATTTTTAGTTGTTTACATGCTGCTATAAGACAAAAATATATGTGTATGTGTATATACATACACAGACGTGTGTATATATGTCTGTGTATATACATATACACATAGTAATACATATTGTGTGTAATATGTACGTGTGAACACCTGAGAAGCTAGAGAAGGGGGATTCATCTCTTTCTGCTTCGCCCATTGGGAAGAACCGGGTCACCATGATAATTGATGGGCTCTGTAGTCAGTGGGGTTCAAAGCCCTTTTCTGACATGGACAAGTTACTTCAGCAGTCTGAGTCTCAGAGGTTTCCTCATCTATAAAGCAAAGAAGCTGGACCAGATGCCCTCTGGCGACCCTCCTAGTTCAACACCTAAGACCCCCTGTTCAATTAATAAAAGGGCCAAAATGTAGGTTGGAAATAAGAAAAAAACTTTATAATGCAGAGATTCATAACCTGGGGTCTGTGGACTTTTAAATAGATATAATTATTAAATGCATGTTATTAAATACATATATTAGTATATATGATATATAATAAATATAAAAAAATAAGATACAAAGGTAACCAGCCATTTTGAAATCGTAATTGAAATACATATATTTTTATTATATTTATATTATATATTTTAATAACTACTTCAAAATAGCTGGTTACTTTTGTATCTTATTTTACGTATTTAAAAACATGATTCTGAGGAGTCCACGGACTCCACCAGACACTGCCCAAAGGGTCCAAAATGCAGAAAAGGTTAGGATCTCCTGCCTTGGAGCAATCCCAAAGTAGATCGGGCTGCTCTGGTTGGCAAGGGCTCGCTCCCTCTCAGTCCAGGCTGTCGGGCAAAGGGTGGATAGATGCCTACTTCTCTGGTATGCAGAGGATCTTTATTCAGGTACAGGCTGGACCCAACGGCCTCTGATACCCAAAGATTCTGACTCACCCAGACAGATTTTAACAATTTCATTTCAGCACAGTCCCTGAGGTCACCTTGGGTAGGGGCGGTGTGGGGAAAGAATTCTTGGTCGCAGATAGCCCTCTATGATTCAAGGCCTGATTCAGCACAGCAGGCCTTCCACCACAGCGGTCTGCTAATCTACAGTACAAAGGCCCTGGAAAAGGTGGCTCCCATCATCCAGACTCAGTATTCTGCTGGGATTCGGGAAGCTAACTAAATATGTGACAGTGAGACAGATCCCCTCCGCTTCAGGGGTTTGTAACCTTTTGGTATCATAGACCCCTTGGGCAGTCTGGTGAAGCCTACACACCTCTTCTCAGAATCCTGTTTTTAAATTCATAAAAATACAGAGGATTAACCAATTTTATTGAAATAGTTATCAAAATATTTTTTAAAGAAGTTCATATATCCCAGGTTAAGAACCCCAATATTGGGACAACTAGGTGGTGCAGTGGAGGGAACACCAGCCCTGGAGTCAGTAGGACCTGAGTTCAAATCTGACCTCAGACACTTGATGCTTACTTTATGACCTTGGGTAAGTCACTTGACTCCAACTGCCCCACAAAAAAAAAAAAGAGAGAATCCCAATATACCTTGTGTGTATTGATTTATATATGTTCCATCCCCCATGAGATGGTGAACTCTTTGAAGGTAGGGGCTGTTTTTACCTTTCTTTGTATTTTCCCCCTAGCGCTCAGCACAGTGCATGACATAGTAAGTCAACATTTTATTGACTGATTAATGGTAGAGGAACCAAATTAAAACCAGAAGGCTGCATGAGAAGGCCTGCCTGTAGGGCTGGTGTTTAGATAGGTCGGGACAGCCTACCCAAGGTTCTTCCATGTCTATGCTCTCTCACTTTGGAGAGCGTCCTTAATTGCTCTGGACATGGCAGCTTCAGACAACACGGACGTTCCGCCCCACTAGCCTCAAACTGCCTCTAGGAAGGAGGGGTCTACCTCCACCTACCACAAACACTAAGATCTAGACCACCCTTCCTTCTCCCTTCAGGGCCTCGGGTGGAGCTTCCCAGCAGCCTCACCTGTGGAGAGTCTCACCCAAATCAGCTCCCAGAACACAAGTCCAGACTTGGAGGAGGCTGGGACTGTCCCTCGCCTGAGTCATCACAATAAACACGGGCCCTCCTCCCCAAACTCCACCACCACCACCAACTAGGTTGTTGCCTGATACCTAAAAGCTGGGGAAGAAACTACATTGTGATTTCTGATACCAAGAACTGAGCCACTATGACACCATCTTCCAAAAGTACTGATGGCATAAAACTAAAAAATCTGAGACGCTAGAAATAGAAAACTTCAGAGTCAGATGGGATCTCAGACACCAGCTAGACTGATCCTTGCATGAACCAAAAAACCCTCTTCATTCCCAACACATGGTCACCTAACCTTTGCTTGAAGGCCTCAGGTGAGGTGTCACTCCTTCCCAAGGCAGCCCATTCGACCTTGAGAAGACTTTCATAACTAGCAACTGTCTCTTGACCTCAGGCCTAAACTGAGCCCCTGTGTCACTTCTATACAATTCCTCCTGGCTCCACCCTTTGGGGACCAATACAAAAAGTCTAATCCATCCTCCAAGAGCCCATGTTAAACATCTCCAGTTCCTTCATCCCATCCTCATAGGATGAAGATCATCCTGGTTGTCTTCTTCGGCCACTCTCCAGCTTAGCAATAGCTTTCTTAAGATGTAGAGCCCAGGACAGTTCACAATACTCCAGGGGACCACAGCAGGGGACACATCGGGATTATCACACCAATACCACAGCGCTCGTAAAGCAGCCCAAGATATGGTGAGCTTCTCAGCCACCATTATCACGAGGCCCCCGTGAGGCAGAGCAATGTTATTCCCATTGGACAGATGAGGAGACTGAGGGGCAGCGTGGCTTTGATGACTAATCCTCAGTGACAAAAAGAGTCAGGAGAAGAGCCAACTTAAGAAGGCAAGTGGGTTGCTTTTCATTTTCTGTTTCCATATCAGAGGGACAAATGTTGAATGAATCTAATTTTCTTGAGTATAGCCTGAGCTGCACAGAGGGAGAAGTTGACCAGCCCTGGTCTCTCCTCCTTGGCCCTATGCTTGACTGCTCAACCTCTCCAACATTTCCTCCCTGAATAAGATGCCCAGGATTCTTGAACAAGGAAGAAAGATATGACTTTACCTCTTCAAACCAAAGGAGAGGAAGGACTACCGGCTGGATTCTTCCTGTTTGCCTAAAGAAAAACAGCAAGAAAAACCAGAGTCACATTTTAATAAAGTTGAAGGCCTATTTCACACAGCAAGAGGCAGCTTGGGTTGGCCTCAGAGTCAGGAAGACCTGGGTTCAAGTCCCACCCCTGACAGCAAACTAGCTAAGTGGCCCCCTTGGACAAGTCTCTTCAACCCTCAGGCAACTCCCTAATGGAGGAAAGGAATAAGCACTTATTAAGCTCCTACTGTGCGCTAAGCACTTTTAGAATATTATCTCTTTTAATCCTACGATGTGGGTGTTATTATACCCATTTTACAGTTGAGGAAACTGAGGCAGGCAGCGATGAGGTGACCTGCCCGGAGTCAAACAGCTAGTACTATAACTTGCAGAACTGGTTCTAATCTGCATGGGGTGGGGTAGAAGAGGAGAAAGTGAAGTTTCCTTATCCAGAGTTCTTTCTAACCAATGCAAATCACAGCATCTGGTCTTACGAACGAAAACAAATTATATGTGGCACCAGGCTTAAGGCACGTATGACACCAAAGAAGGATCATGGGTCTAAAACTGAAAGGAACTTAAGAGGTAAGCTAGTCCACTCCCCTCATCTTACAGATGAGAAAATCTGCCCGGTTATCACACAGGTAGTATACATTTAAGGCAGCATTTGAACTCAGATCTTCCTGATTTCAGGCCCAGTGCCCTTCCCCTGCCGTCCCTCACCCTCTGTTAGTGGGCAGGATGGAAGGGCTCAGAGAACTGAGATTTTCACCAGGAAGGAAGATATCACGGCAGAGAAGCCAGGGCTGGGGAAGTCGGGAATGTTGGGTTCCAGCTCGGTCCCTCACCTATCGTGGAGCCTCGAACAACCCCTTTAGAATCAAGCTTTAAGGTCCAGCTTCCACCACAAGTCTAGGGTCCGTCCCTAACCTGTTTGGGTCCATAACAAAAATGAGGACTTGGGACACAGCACAGGGCACTGGGCTTGGAATCAGGAAGACCTGCCTTCCCAAGTTCAAATCCGGACTCGGACACTTACAGCTGTGGGACCCTGGGCAAGTCACTTCACCCTGTTTGCCTCAGTTTCCTCCTCTGTAAAATGGGCTGGAGAAGGAAATGACAAACCACTCCAATATCTGCTAAGAAAACCCTAAGTGGGGTCACAAGAAGTGAGATACCACCAAAAGAGCTAATGACAACTTAAGGCTTTCAAAGTGATGTGTGCGTGTGTGTGTGTGCGCGCGCACATACATACACACGCACATGCGCGCGCGCACACACACACACTTTAATGTGATATCCACAACAACCCGTGTGGTTTAGTTCAGTAATTTTCAGTTTCTCTGTGACACCATTTGGGGTTTTTTTAAGCAATGAAGTGATTTGCCACTTCCTTCTCCAGCTCATTTTACAGATGAGAAAACTGAGGCAAACAGGATGAAGTGACTTGCCCAGGGTCACACAGCTAGTGTCTGAGGCTAGATTTGGATTCAAGAAGATGAGTCTTCCTGTCTCCAGGGCCCACACTATTATCCCCGTTTTAGAGATGAGGAAACTGAGGGGCAGCTAGGTGGCGCAGTGGATAGAGCATTGGCCCTGAAGTCAGGAGGACCTGAGTTCAAATTTGGTCTCAGACCAAACACTCGACACTTACTAGCTGTGTGACCCTGGACAAGTCACTTAACCCCAATTGCCTTAAAAAAAAAAAAGAGAGAGATAAGGAAATTGAGGCTATTCGAGAAGTGAAAGTGACTTGCCCAATTAACCCTAGCGCTCCCCAAGAGATGGTCTTTTGAAGCATCTCCCCGTGGGCTCTGCTCCAGGAGAAGAATAGTTTGAGGCTAGAAATGTCCCTTTTTGCTTCTCCTCACCCACCCCCCTCAACTCTGTCCCTTTCTTTTTAGAGGTGGGGGCCCGGGTAGCGGGAAGAGCCCCACAACTAGGAAGTTGTGTTGACGCGATACAACTGAGGCTAAGGCACAGCCTGAACCCAGGTCCTCCTGACTCCAGATCCAATCCATTAGCTGCTACTCAGAAGGGAGAGCTTGGAGGGCCCAGATTCTGTGATCAACCCAATAAGACCTATATGACTGGGTACTCGCTGGCTGTGCGGGCCTGGCGAGAAGTCTGGCTGCCCCGCTCTACTCACCCAATGCCAGGGACAGCCTTTGTATACAGACTCAGCTGCAGCTTGACCGAACAGTTCATGGGGATGCCGGTGACCTGCAGTCAGGATGAGAGCGCAAGAAGGACATCATGGAGAGCAATAATGGCTCCCATTTATCCAGCCCTGGAAGGTTTAACACACAGATAACCTAATTTAAATAACAGAGCCCACCCCTCCCCATCCCCACCATCTTGAGAAAGACTCAGGGTCTCTCCATCCTCAGATTCTGTTTACAAAAGGGTCAATGAGGGACGGTTTCGGGGACAGCCTGCTTATTCTCCCCAAAACCAATCTCATGTGGCTATGGGCCACTACCCAGTATGTGGCAGCCAAGCAGTGAAGTGAATGCAATGCTGGGTGGAGGCAGGAAGACCAGAGTTCAAATCCAGCCTCAGTGGTGCGACCCTGGGCAAAGCACCCCACCACTTTTTGCCTCAGTTCCTTCATCTGTAAAATAGGGAGAATAAAGTTCTTGACTTTTCTCAGCCTCCATTTCCTCATCTGTAAAATGGGGATAATAATAGCACCAACTTCCCAGGATTATTACGAAGATCAAATGGTGACGACATACAGAAGACATTTTAAAACCTTAAAGCATTATATAAATGTCAGCTATTATTGTTTATTATTATTATTATCATTATTATTATTATCATCATCATTATTATGATGTTATATTCCTTGGCCTGGAGTCAGGAAGGACAAACCTGAGTTCAAATTCTGCCTCAGAAACATACTAGCCGGGGCAGCTAGGTGGCACACAGTGGATACAGCACCAACCCTGAAGTAAGGAGGATCTGAGTTCAAATCCAGCCTCAGACAAATAACACTTACTAGATTTGTCACTTAACCCCAATTGCCGAGGGGAGGGGAGGGGAGGAGAGGAAAGAAACATACTAGCTGTGTAACACTGGGCAATTTACATAACCTCTCTCAGCCTCATCTATAAAATGGGGATAACAGAACCACCTACTGGGAAAGGAGTTTTGTGAGGCCCACATTAGAAAAGTCAACATAAAGTGATTTGCAAACCTTACTGGGCTTTAAACCGTAAATACTGGCTCTTATTATTATCCATGACTTGAGGGGGCAGCATAAAAAGAAGAAAAGAAGATGGATTTGGAGTCGGCCAAGAATTACTGCAGCATCCTCATCATTGCTGGCTTTTCTGTGGCACTTTAAGGTTTGCAAAGCACTTTTCAAATATGAGCAATCTGGGGCAGCTAGGTGGCACAGTGGATAGAGCACCGACCCTGGATTCAGGACCTGAGTTCAAATGCGGCCTCAGAAACATAACACTTACTAGCTGTGTGACCCTGGGCAAGTCACTTAACCCCATTGCCTAACCAAAAAAAAAAATCAATATGAGCAATCATTTGAACCTCACAACAGCCCTGAGAGATAGGGGCTATTATTAGCCCCCTCTTACAGATGAGGAAACTGAGGCAAATAGAGATGAAGTGACTTGCTATTATTACCCCTGTCTCACAGGTGAGAAAACTGAAGCAAACAGAGGTGAAGTGATCTATTTTTATCCCCACTTTACAGGTGAGAAAACTGAGGCAAACAACCAGCCCAGGGTTACACAGTTTGTAAGTGTCTAAGGTGGGATTTGAACTCAGGTCTTACTGACTTCAGATCCAGCCCGCCTCTATTCACTGCATGTCAGTTTTGCTTCTGAAAGTTATTAGGTCTGTGACTGAGGGCCTCAGTTTCCCTCATCTATAAAGTGGGAATGATCTCCCAGGTTCAAACACAGGTTTCTGGAGGATAAGGGCTGTTTCTGCCTTTCTGTGTATCCCAGGGAATGCTGAGCACTGTGCATGGCAGGTTGTCTGGTCAGTCGTGTCCAACTCTCTGTGAGGCCATTTGGGGTTTTCTTGGCAGAGATACTGGAGTGGTTTCTCATTCCCTTTCCAGTTCATTTTACAGATGAAGAAACTGAGGCAAACAAGATTAAGTGACCTGCCCAGAGTCACACAGCTAATAAGTATCTGAGGCCACATTTGAACTCAGGTCTTCCTGAGTCCAGACTCTGAGCCACCCAGATGCCTGGCATATAGCATCTAGAAATGTTTGGCTGCTTCAATGATGATAGTACCAGATTCAGAGGATTGTGGGAAGGATCTAATGGGCTACAGGACATAGCTACAATTTCTTCACCACAAAGCACAGCACAAACATATGTGATCATGATATGCATGGGCCCCCATCCTTCTAAATATTTCAGTTGCTCCTATACTCAATGGTCTTAACCTCGGGTCCATGATTTAAAAAAAAAAATTTTGAAAGCTATATCTCACTCTATTTGTGACCCTACGTAGTTTAGTTTATGTATTTAAAATATGGTTCTGAGAAAGTTTGGTCCATAGGCTTCACCAGACTGTGACCCAGTGGGTCTAGAACACAAACAAGGAAAGAAATCCTGATCTAGAATTGTTTTCAGTACTATTCAGATCTCTTGAGATGCCTCAGGCTGCTCTGGATCAGGCACAGCAAATGTGGTAGGGCAGAGGATACTTGACTGTTACGGAAAAAGATGAGAAAAGATGGACATGGAATGGGCAAAAACGTGGATGGTGTACCCAGCTGCACACACTTGCCTCCATCCCCAAAACACATGGAGGAAGAGAAGAAATATCATAATCCAAGGTTGCAGCTTGTCCCAAGAAAGTTTATATTTAAACTCCACAGAGATATTATGTCCTTGGGTCAATTTTTCAGTTATTATAAGATTATCTCTTATCAGGCAAGGCCTCTCCCATCAGATACATTCATTAAGTCCAGATAAGGAGTAACAGCCAGAGACTTGCCCAATAACCAATATCTACCCCAATCTCCCTCATAACTAATGTGGGCTGATATGAAGGGCCAAAGGCTTCATGTGGGGCCAAGGTGGCTTCCCAAAGGTCTTCTGATTTCAGGAACCATGACGAAGATCTCTCTCTGAACTCCTGAGATCTGCTCATCCCCAGACCCTGCCTCCTGCAATACGCCATTTTACTTTGAACCTGGGTTCAAATCCCACCCTGAGCACATTAGCTCCACACCCCTCTTCTACGTAAAATAAGATGGCTGACTTTTGAGAGAAATTATTATTAATAATCAATGATTTGGGGAGATTCAGATTTCCCCCTTTTCTCTATCCTCATTTCAAGATCTCAGTCTCTGAAGGTTGAGCTAACCTTATCCTTTACCCGTCCCCATCCAACCTTACAAGGAATCTCTAGTCCAGGGGTAGGGAACCTGCAGCCTGGAGGCCACATGTGACCCTCTAGATCCTCAAGTGAGGCCTTTTGACTAAATCCAAAGTTTACAGAACAAATAAAAGGATTCCTTCTGTAAAACTTGGACTCCTTCAAAAAGCAGCACCTTAGGACCTAGAAGGCCACATGTGGCCTCAAGGCCGCAGGCTCCCCAACCCTGCCTAAGGTCAATTCCATTCAATCAAGCTGGGGTGGAAAGAGACCCTTTGGTCTAAACTGCCCAAGGCTGGATATAAAGATGGTCTCTTGGTCAAAGTGTAACATGATGTCATTCTCAGCCCCTATTGTAATATTTATTCTCATTAATTGTTAGCCAATGAAAGCTCATTCCCACCATAGGGAACACTTACTCTTCAAAGGGCATATAAACCGTAAGCCCGCTGCCATGGGGATCTTTAGAGAGACAGACAAATGACCATCATTTTATTAAAATGCTGGCATTATTAGTAAAACAATTAAATTATCCAAAAACTACGTCTCTCAAAGCCACACCTTGATGATAATAACAATAACTTAACATTTATGTAGCATATAGGTAGCAGTTAGGTGGGCAATGGATAGAGAACCAGGACTGGAGTCAGGAAGACCTGAGTTCAAATGTGGCCTCAGATATTTACTAGCTGTGTGACTCTGGGCAAGTCACTTTACTCTGTTTGCCTCAATTTCTTCACCTGTAAAATGAGCTAGAGAAGGAAATGGCAAACCGCTCCAGTCTCTTTGCCAAGAAAACTCCAAATGGAGTCACAGAGAGTCACACATGGCTGAAATGACTGAAAAATAATAACAGTATAGTATTTTACATGTTATTTCATGTGATCTTCACAACAACCCTGAGAGGGGCTGCAATTATTCTCATTTTACAGATGAGGAAACTGAGGCAAAAAGGTAAAGAAACTTGAGGTCACACATCTCATGTCTGAGGCAATTCTTGCACTAAGGTCTTCCTGATTCCTAGTTCAGGGCTCTAACCACCACATCACCCACCTATCTCTAAAGTCCCTTTCTGCTCTGAATCTATATTTCTATGATTCCTACCAGATCTCAATCTATGATTGTATGAAGACAAATACCAGATGGTGAATCTCCTTCCTAGAGCCTTCTCCCCAAAGATCTAGAAGTAGACAGCCGAGAGAGATAGAGAGAGGCAGAGAGACACAGAAAGATAGAGACAGAGAGAGGAGAAAGACAGAGAGACAGAGAGAGGAGAGAGACAGAGAGAGAGAGGAGAAAGACAGAGAGAGGAGAGAGACAGAGAGAGAGAGACTGAGAGAGACAGAGAGAGAAAGAAAGAGAAAGAGGAGAAACAAACAGGAGAGAAAGGGGAGAGAGAGAGAGAAAGAGAGAGAGACAGACTGAGGACAGACAGAGACAGAGAGAGACACAGAGAGAGGCAGCAGGCTCCCTCTCTCTAAATGCCACCACCTAGAGCTTCCATCAAACCACCATCTGGCACTCTGCCCCTCTGGTCTCCAACACTCTTGGAATTCTCCTAGAGCAGGGGTTCTTAATTAACCTTGTCTGTGTCCTGGCCCACCTTGCACAGTGTCTGGGGAAGTCAACTGCTTCTCAGAATCATGTTTCTAAATGCATGAAACACATAGGATTATAAAGGAAAGCAAATAAAAACAGGTTCGTGGACTCCAGATGAAAAACTCCTAGCCTAAAGTGTGTGTCTGGGGCAGGGGAGGGGCGGGGAGGAGGCAGGAAGGAAGGCAGGAAGGAAGGCAGGAAGGAAGGAAGGAAGGAAGGAAGGAAGGAAGGAAGGAAGGAAGGAAGGAAGGAAGGAAGGAAGGAAGGAAGGAAGGAAGGAAGGAAGGAAGAAGAGAAGGGAGGAAGGAAGGAAGGGAGGAAGGAAGGAAAAAGGAAGGAAGGAAGGAAGGAAGGAAGGAAGGAAGGAAGGAAGGAAGGAAGGAAGGAAGGAAGGAAGGAAGGAAGGAAGGAAGGAAAGAGAAGGAGGAAGGGAGGAAGGAAGGAAGGAAGAAGAGAAGGGAGGAAGGAAGGAAGGAAGGAAGGAAGGAAGGAAGGAAGGAAGGAAGGAAGGAAGGAAGGAAGAAGGAAGGAAGGAAGGAAGAAGAGAAGGGAGGAAGAAGGAAGGAGAGAAGGAAGGAGGAAGGAAGGAAGGAAGGAAGGAAGGAAGGAAGAAGGAAGGAAGGAAGGAAGGAAGGAAGGAAGGAAGGAAGGAAGGAGGAAGGAAGGAAGGAAGGAAGGAGGGAGGGAGGGAGGAGGAGGGGGGAGGGAGGGAGGAAGGAGGGAGGGAGGGAGGAGGAAGGGAAGGAAGGAAGGAAGGAAGGAAGGAAGGAAGAAGGAAGGAAGGAAGGAAAGGAAGGAAGGAAGGAAGGAAGGAAGGAAGAGGAAGGAAGGAAGGAAAGAGAAGGAAGGAGGAAGGAAGGAAGGAAGGAAGGAAGGAAGGAAGGAAGGAGGAAGGAAGGAAAGAGGAAGGATATTCACATAGAGAAAAATTTAGCTGGCCTTGTGATGAAAGAGGAGGAAGGGGAGGATTTTCATAGCACTTTAAGGCTTGCAAAGTGTTTTACAATTATTATCTCATTTGATCCCTACAACAACCCTGGGAGGTAGGTGTCATTATTAGCCCCATTTTATAGTTGAGAAAACTGAGGCAGACAGCTGTTAGAGGAGCAAAGGAGATATCTGTAAAGCACTTGGCACCATGATTGGCACAAGTCAGGCACGATATAAAAGCTCATGTTTATTATCATCACCATCATCATCATTACCACTATTACTTGAGCAGAGTCACAAAGCTAGTGAATGTCTGAGGCTGGATTTGAACTCAAGTCTTACTGATTCCCCGGTGTCATGCTCCACCCACTGCAGTGCCTAGCTGCCAAAATTGACAAGGACTACGTTTCAAAATCCTTTAAGCCTCCCCTCAAGAGCCACAGTGTAGTGGAGAGAGAGAGCCAATGTGGAGCCAGAAAGATCCGGCCTCTAACACACACTGACCGGCAGCTGGCATGGAGTCTGGACCAGCCCCTGAACTCTCCACGTGGACCAGCCGCAGACCTGCACCTGTAGGGTCGCCACCGCGGGGGTACCACCATCCTCCCAGTGGCCCAGGTCTGCAGCTTCCAGTGACAGCATCCTCACCTCCTCCCTCCGCTCCACCCACACGGCCAAGGCATCCCCTCACCCAGCCGCCACCCTGGCGCTTAAGCGACTGCTCCTCGGGGCGATCTCCGTGCCGCCAGCCCCTCCCCTGGAAGCTGCCAGGGGGACAGGCCTGACCTTCCACGCACCAGGGGCCCTCTCTGACCTTTGGCATCAGAAATAAAGTCTTGTGCTTGGAGTTCTGAGGTTTTCATAACCTGACCCCTTCCCACCTTTCTGTGAGCACAGAGTCCAACCCTACTGACCTAATTACTGCTTATTGTGCAGGACACTCCCACCTCCACATTCCGATGCCTGGAATCCACTGCCCTCCTCACTTGGCCTGGAGTCAGGAAGACCTAAATTCAAATGTGGACTCGGACACTAGCTGGGTGACCCTAGGCAAGTCGCTTAAGCCTGTTTGCCTCAGTTTCCTCATCTGTCAAATGAGCTGGAGAAGGAAATGGCAAATCCCTCCAGTATCTGTGCCCTGAAAACATCAACTACTAGCTGTGTGACCCTGGACAAGTCACTTCACTCCCCTTGCCCCCCCTAAAAAGCAGTCAGGTACTCCAAAGACCCAGCTCCTCCACCCATGTCCTCTGGGGCCCAGGGCCACGTCCACACAGAACAGAAGGGGCAAAGCTCCCATACCCTTCATAGCCTAGCTCATTGGCAAAATGCCCCAGGCCCATCCTCTGAACAGGCTTGGCATGAAATGTGTGGGCCAGTGTTCTGCCTCTGCTTAAGTGGCCGCCTAGGAGACAGGCACGTCAATAGCCATTAATTAGTGTACAGCTTTATAGCCCTTTTATAGAGGCAATTCTCCAGCAAAGCTGTTTGAATGCGTACGCCGTGGAGTCTGGACCAGCCACGCAGCGTCACTGTCTGACAAGCACTTAAGCATCTCTGACACCAGTCACTCAGTGAGCATTTAGTAAGCACCTACTATGTGCCAGGCACTGTGTATGTATATACACATATACACATACATATATGTGCACATACACACATGCATGCGTGTACATACCTGTTATACATGCTTTGCGTGTGTGCATACATGCTTAAACATGTGTGTGCATGTGCAGTGCCGTGCACATATACACGTGTGTCTTGCAGTGCATTTATGCTCACACAGGTGTGCACACAAGCATGTCTGCACATACATATACTACATGCTTTGTATGCATGTCTGCACATACACATGCATGTATGCATGCATGCTTATGCACATACTGCACATGCATACTTATACATATATGTACATATGTATGCATAATATATGTAAACACTGATGCGCATATACACGTGTGTGCATGTACACGTCTATACACTTATACATATATACACACTTGTATGCATATACACATATATGCATGTAAGCATGCATATACATACACGCGTATACACATATATACATGTGTATGTGTGTGCATACACATACACACTTATACATATATTCATATGTATACCTACACACATACCTACACAGATACACATATACACACATGTATGCATATACACACACATATACACACTTATACACATATATGTATGTATACATACTTTATACATTTGTATGCATATACACATACACACTTATATATACATATGTATACACACACATATATTATATATATCTATATATAAAAATCTCATTTGATGATGAGTATGAGAGGTCTGTGGGGCATCCAGGGGAGATTTTCAGCAGGCATTGGTGATGTGGGATTGTAGTTGAAGAGGGTGAAGACGGCTAAAGAGGTAGCTTTGGGAGTCCTATCCATAGAAGTGATCATTCAAACCATGGGAACCCATGAGATCACTGGGACCAGCAGTTTTTAACCTTTTCTGTGTCCAGGGGCCCCTTGGCAGCAGGGATGTAAAGCCCTTCTCAGCATAATCCTTTTAAATGTATAAAATAAAATGCACAGGATTATAAAGAAAACCAATGATAACTGAAATACAGTTATCAAAATTTTTTTTAAAAGCTCATGGACTCTCTGACCCTCTGCTATAACAGGGGAAGAGAAGAGGCAGCAGGACCCATCACCCATTGCCGAGGGACATGGGTGATGATCTGAAAAGGAAGCTAAGAGAGGCTGCTCAAAAGATTCAGGAAAACAAAGTCACAAAAAGCCTTGGGGGCAGGGGGGGGGAAGAGCCAGCCGGCTGGGGTGTCCAAAGCCAGGAAAAGAGTCAAGAAGGAAGGGAAGCGAGCGAGGGCCTCTGCAATGAGCCGCCGACACAGCCACGAGACCGTGGAGTCTCACTGAGTGGGAGGGCCCGAAGCCGGCCCCCCAGGGACTGAGAAGCAAGTGGGAGGCAGACAGGGGTACACTCCGAGCTTGGGAAGATCCTTCCAGAGTCTGAGCAGGAAGGCAGAAGAGAGCGGCCCATGGCAGAGTCAAGGGAAGGGGTCTCGTTTTCTTTTTCAAATAGGATTGATCTGGGCATAGTTGTAGGCAACGCGGAAGGAGCTAGTGAAGAAGAGATTAAATAAGAGGGAGAGAAATAATTTGTTGGTGGTGTTTGGCTGTTCAGTCATGTCTGACTCTTCGTGACCCCGTTTTGGGTTTTCTTGGCAAAGATATTGGAGTGGTTTTCCCATTTCTTTTTCCAGCTCATTTGACAGATAAGGAAACTGAGACAAACAGCATTAAGTGACTTGCCCAGGGTCACACAGCTAGTAAATGTCTGAGGCCAGATTTGATGGTGGCTGGTTTTTGATTTTTTTTTATGATTGTCATTTTCTGACTCTATTTTTTTTTTAATTTTTGTTTGTTTCTGGTGAGGCAATTGGGGTTAAGTGACTTGCCCAGGGTCACAGAACTAGTAAGTGTCAAGTGTCTGAGGCTGGATTTGAACTCAGGTCCTCCTGACTCCAAGACCAGAGCTTTATCCACCGCACCACCCAGCTGCCCCTATTTGATATTTTCTTGGCAAAGATACTGGGGTGATTTGCCATATCTTTTTCCAGTTTGGGTTTTTGGAGTTTTTTTTTTTTGGTTAGGCAACGGGGTTAAGTGACTTGCCCAGGGTCACACAGCTAATAAGTGTTATGTCCACCTAGCTGCCCCTCCAGCTCATTTTTACAGATAAGGAAACTGAATCAAACAGGGTTAAGTGAGGGACACACCACTTCTCTGAGGCCATATTCGAACTCAGGTCTTCCTGCTTCCAGGTCTGGAACTCTTATCTACCGCACCACCCAGCTGCCTCCAATAAGGAAGCCCCTAGCAGGCTGGCAATGCCCTCCCCAACACAACGCAGCCCAGGACCCCTTCGTGCTGACTTACCGGGTGCACCTCAAGGAACAGGGAGTGTTCTTCCTTGTTGGGATGGAGCCCGATCACAGACTCGACCAGTTCCGGATCTGCGTTGTAGAAATGCGGGTGCGAAAGGAAGAGCGGGGCACCTGGGAGAGACAAGGAGGAGAAGGTAAACCCTTCCAAGGCCATCACCGGACCATGAAGGAGGTCAGCCCCACAGTCATGCCCACTTGCTGCCCAGGTGAAGCGGATGGATCAAAGCAAGCTTTCCAGGCCTCGGTGGAGGAACCTGTGAAATGGAACCTCCATTCTCCGGGAGGTGAGAAGCAGGCAAAAGCCTCCCTTTCAGTCAATCATCGAGGGCGGGCTGTGACCGAGGCGGACCCCAGCCATCAGCAAGACAGCCAACAGGGGGACATTTGCCCAGACTCAGTTTTCAGTCGAGTAACACATATACCTACACATACGGGGATCTTTTTTTAATCCTACCTATGTGACCTTGGGTAAGTCACCTTCCCTCTATGGGCTTGTTTCTTAATCTATGAAATGATAGAGTCAATCAATCATCAATAATTAGAGCCCTGGGTGAAATCATGATGACAATAGCTAATGTTTACAGAACACTTCAGGACTTTTCTCATCCCCATTTTACAGCTGAGGAAACTGAGGCTGACAGATGACTTGCCCTGGGTGGGAGGCAGGATCTGAATTCAGACCTTTCTGACTCCAAGTCCATCATTCCATCCATTGTCTAATAAATAATCACTACGTTAAAGTGGCTTCAGCTATGACCCAGGACGTAGGGAGGGTAGACAGACACCATCTCCGTCTCACAAAGATCAGGAGCTTCATAAACAGAAGACTTTGGGGCCATACTCATCTTGAATCTTTTCCCACCGGGCCCAAATAAATACTGCAGATGTTCCTGATCAAAACCCAGACCCCTACGTTTTAAAAAGATCCTGTTTATTTAATTGTTTTTAGTTGTGTCTGATTCTTCATGATCCCACTTGAGGTTTTCTTGGCAGATATACTGCAGTGGTTTGCCATTTGCTTCTCTAGCCCATTTTACAGATGAGTAAATTGAGATAAACAGGGTTAAGTGACTTGCTCAGGGTCACACAGCTAGTAAGTGTCTGAGGCCACATTTGAACTCAGGTCTTCCTGACTCCAGGCCCAGAGCCGCCTAGCTGCCCAACAAAGAAATGCCTACTGCATTTCAATTTTAAGCAGAAAGGAAAAATGTACCCCCCATCAATTTGCCAGTGGGTTTTTCTTGCTGGGATCATTACCAGCCTAGCAGGCTGGCCCCCATGGTGGCAGGGATACACAATTCTGCATATGGCTCTGTGGGATTTTCCAGGAAGAAGTGCAAGAGATGGACTTAGTTGATAAGTGTTAATTAATTTATGTCTTTATAGGACTCCCACGGGCGTGCACAAACCCAGCCTCCTCACAGAGTTGGAGCAGCCCATCGATCCCGTACCTAGTACCGCCTGTTTGACATGTGTGAGCTGCCTCCAAGATTTTATGTCCGGCGTGGATCATAAGAGACACTAGGCCAATAACTCTTAATTGATTTACAGCTTTATAGGCCTTTTACACCGGCAATTCCCCCACCGTCAAAATTATGTCTCCTGATAGGAGATTAGGACGTGCTAGCTGAGCAAAAATCAGGTCTGGGCAACAGCACCAGGGCACGCTCCTGAGAGCTCTGAAGGGGCAGTTTTTCTTTGAGAGTTTCTCCCTGGTGCCACAACATTCTTGAGACCTTGAAGGGGAAACTCTAGAAGTAACCCTCTTACAGCTGCTGCCCTGGCACCTGCTGCCTGTGTGACCTTGGGCATCCCTCTCCTCTGTCTCTGTCTCTCTCTCTGTCTCTGTCTCTCTCTCCCTCTCTTTGTCTCTCTGTCTCTCCTCTGTCTGTCTCTGTCTCTCTCTTTGTCTCTCTGTCTGTGTGTGTGTCTCTCTCCCTGCTCTCTCTTTGTCTCTGTCTCTGTGTCTGTGTCTCTGTCTCATCTCTCCCTCTCTCCCTCACCTCTCTCTCTCTGTCTCTTCTTCCTCTGGCTTTGTCTCTCTGTCTCTCCTCTGTCTCTCTCTATCTGTGTGTGTCTCTCTCCCTGCTCTCTCTCTGTCTGTCTCATCTCTCCCTGTCTCTGTCTCTCTCTGTCTGTGTCTCTGTCTGTCTCTCTCTCTCCCCGTTCTCTCTTTGTCTTTCTCTGTGTCTCTGTCTCTCCTTCTCTCTCTGTCTTTCTCTGTCTTTGTCTCTCTCTCTCTCTCTCTCTCTCTCCCCACTCACTCTGTCTCTCTGTCTCTCTCTACATCTCTCTCTCTCTCTCTCTCTCTTTCCTCTCTCCCCCTCTCTCTCTCTCCCTCCCTCCCTCCTCTCTTTCTCTCTCCGAAGTACAGTTTCCTCATCTGAAAATTGAGAGATTTGGACTAAAATGTAGCAAAGTGTGGTCTGCACACTCCTGGGAGTCCCCAAGATTCTTTCGGGGTGGGGGGTGTTCCATGAGATCAACATTACTTTCATAATAAGTCTAAGCCTTTTAAATTTCTCATATTGTAAATATAAATAGCTCTAACCACATAAACAGAAGCTCTTCGGGGTGGGGAAGGGGAGGGAGAACCTTAATAATTTTTAAGAGTGTAAACAGGCCTGAGACCAAAAAGTTTGAGAACCACTTGACCTCTGAGGCCCTTTCAAGTTCTAAGTCCTTACGAACAGGTGTAAGCATGTTGGGGCGTACTCTCAGAGCCATAACTAGCATGGGGTGAGGTGACTAAGGCTCTGTCCTGGGTGTCTCCATTTACAGAGCGCCCCCAGCAACACTCCCAGTCCTTCTGCTGTCTAGAAACAGTCCAATTCAACACCTAGTTAGCAACAATAGCCAGCAATTACATAGCTTTAAGGTTTGCAAAGCACATTAAATCCCAGGCGGGAGATGCTATCATTACTCCCATTTTATAGACTGGAAAACTGAAGCAAACAGAGGTTAAGTGACTTGCCCAGGATCACACAGCTCGGCAACAGTCTGAGGGCAGATTCTGATTCTGGTCTTCCTGACTCTAGGTCCAGCACGCTGTGCACTGAGCCATCAGGCTGCCCCGAAAAGATCGAGTTAACCTGGAAACTACCAAATATCTTGCTACTGGCCAAACCCCAGCTGGGCTCCTCCCTGGCTCCCACAGCAGCCTCCCCAGCAGCGTCTGAGGGCTCGTGCCATGCTATCTGCACCCTGGACTAATTTCTGTGCTGTTTGCCATTCAAGAAAAAAAAATGGCTAGTTACAGTCTTGTGGCCTCTGCAAGAGAAACCTTACAGAAAATTCTCTTCTGTTTCACCAGAGACCAGCCACTGCCGGAAGACATTGATCGGCAGTACGATTCACCTGCCAGGCCAGAGTGGAAGCCAGCTGCTCCGGAGCAGATGTAGATGTTCACAGGAGTCTGGAAGGAGTTGTAACTAGGGCCCAGCAATAGGGGCTTTGCCCAAGGGTAAAGAATTCACAGGGTGCCCATTTGTGGCATTGCAGCCATGAAGAAACTGACTAGGGCTAACAATCTACTCTAAAACTTGAAAGCAAAAAAGATCTTAGTAAGCTAAAACACTGGGAAGAATCAAGTAAGAAGTGGTGGCACTGTGCTTGGAGTCAGGAAGACCCAAGTTCAAATCCTACCTCTGACACTTCCTAGCTGTGTGACCCTGTGTGACACCTCTGCTTGCCTCACTTTCCTCATCTATAAAACGGGGATAATGAGAACACCCACCTTCATTTTTTGCTATGAGAACCAAATAAGATAATAATTGTAAACCACTTAGCACAGTGCCTGGCCCAGAATAAGCACTATATAAATGTTAGTTGCTATTATTATAGTTATTATTTAACACTCTGTTTGCCTCAGTCTCCTCACCTGTAAAATGGGGATAAGAACAGCACCTACCTCCCAGGATTATTAGGCGGATAAGATGAGATAATGTATATTATCTCTATCCACTGCACCACCTAGATGCCTCAAAAAGAATTAGTTAAAATAGGGACCACCAAATACCTTGCAGCTTGGCCAGACCTCAGCTGAGCTCTTCCTTGGCTGGGAGGGCTTGCTTCGCAAACTCTGATGTGCTACAGAAATGCTGGCTATAATTATGATCTAGCTAGTAATAGGGGAGACACAGCTATGTGAAATAAAAAACAATGGAAATGCTTAATTGGAAGACACAGAATCTTCAATATGGAGATGGTCCACAGGAGAAAACTTCTTTTCTTTTTTTTTCTTTTTGGCGAGGCAGTTGGGGTTAAGTGACTTGCCCAGGGTCACACAGCTAACACGTATCAAGTATCTGAGGTTGGATTTGAACTCAGGTCTTCTGGACTCCAGAACCAATGCTCTATGCACTGCGCCACCTAGCTACCCCAGGGATGAAACATCTAAGGCCATTTGGCCTGACCCCTTCATTTATAGAAGAGGAAACTGACGCTGAGCGATTTTTTTCAGGGAGGAGGGGGGTGGAGGACAGAAAGGAAGATGAAGAGGGAGAAGAGCTAATAACAGAGGCAGGATTGGAACTCAGGTCTTCCTGACTCCAAGGCCAACCTTCTCTCGACTGCTCTGCTGGCCCTCCTCTAGTTGATCCACACCCTTCTTTGCACTGATCACTGAAGGAGAAGGGTGAGATCAGTGTGGGTGAAGGTGACTTTGAAACCTTGGGGCTCACCCAAACCAGCAGAGTATTTATTCCAAAGGGAATTCTGCCAGCCTTGTAGCAACATGGCCCACCCCTGGGATCTCATCATGCTGGCAAGGAAGACATATGGGGAAAAGAGAGGGAAGGTCACCAATTACTGAGTGCCTCAATTCTAATTCGGGAACTTCTGTATCATTGAATTTATTTTTATTATGTTTCCAATGATCAGCTTTTCCTATTCCCCCAACCCCCCTGAGGACAAAGACTATAGTTTGGTTTTGGTTTTTCTGCATTTCTTTGTACTCCTGGCACTTATGTGTGCCTGACATACATTATGTGCTTACAAAAAGAGGTATCCAGATGCTTACTACCACGAGGATGACAGAATCACCAGCGATCTTGAAGACAAACCGATCCCAGGGGGCCTCTTACTTACTTAACTGACAGGAGCTCATGTTCTGGATTCCCGACTTCAGGCAAGGACAGAAACCTTCATTTGGTGGGTACACAGACCCGTTGGCAAATAAGGTGTTTGGGGCCACAAATCGATAAGTAGGAATACCTTCAAAGTCTCCTGACTTCTCATATTCAAAACTCAGAGACCTAGAGGGTTAAAAGAGAAAAAGAGCTAAAGAAAATACCATCAACAACCAGAAAAATAAAAATATCAGTCCGTCCATTAGCTCCCCAAGAAACCAAAAGTGGGGCTGGACTGGGAGGCCAAGAGGAGACTTGGCTCTTCATCTTGGTTCTGCCATAAACCTGATTTGACTTCAGACTTTACTCTTCAGACAGACTTATGATAATCCCTCCCTTCACTGCACAGGTGAAGGGGTGTGGGTTACTGCATAGCCTGGCAAATTCAATTGCTGGTAGTTGGCTAAACTGCTTTTTCTCCCCTTTATTTTTAATTCATTGGTAAAAAACACACTCCCCAATAGATATGGGAGGGAGGAGGGCTAATTATAGAAATGACTGTAATGTAGAAACAGAAGGTATCAATACAACTTTTTAAAGACATGGTAATAAGGCAAAGGCTGGTTGTACACACACACACACACACACACACACAGAGGACATGGGAGCAGGTCACTTCCCCTTCTTCAAGACTTAGTTTCCTCTTGCTATAAAATGAGGAAATTGGGATAGCTAGTTTCCAAAAGTCCCTTTTTCAGCTTTGTCATTGTGATTTTGCTTAATACAAGCTCAGATGGGATGAGGGAGTAGATCCTGCCACTCTGGGAATGGCCTGGCATATCCCTCCCAAACTGAGTCATAAGTAAGAGTCATTACCGGCAAGCCTCTGGGCTGTAGAATTGAAGGTTATACTCTGGAGTCATGAAAGGGGCCCACATCTGTCCAGATGTCCCATTAATCATATTGCACTGGTCTGAATTCCAGAAGTTTAACTAATAACAACAAATCGACAAATTTGTTAACAATAACATATCAACAAATTTGTTAGCAACATCTACTTTGTTAACACTAACAAACTTGTTAATGGTAAGTTTGTTAACAATAACAAATTAAAAAGGGAAAGGAGAATTAATTCTCTTCTGATGCTTATGACGGTTTCCAACACATGTCCTGCAGACAGTTTCCTGAGTTATAGTGACCTAAAAACTTGGGTCACCCATGAGCAACTTCCTGGAGATGAGATTGTGAACTTAGCTGGATTAGTCTACAAATCAATTAAATAAACATTTAAGATGTGAGTCTCACCTCAAACACTTATTAACTGTATATCCACAGACAAGTCATTTAACCTTTACGAGTTATCACTTTCCCATCTGTCAAGTGGAGATAATAATATCTGCTCATGAGGACACTACTTTCATTCTAATACATGACACATCTCCTGTCCCCACTGGCTGTCCACCATGCCTAGAATACTCTCCCTTCTTACCTCATCTCTTGGAAATCTTGGCTTCTCTCAAGTTGCCCCCAATTCCACCTTCTACATGAGGTCTTCCCTGGTCCCCTCAGCTATCAACCTTTTCTCCCAAGGTTATCTTACAGTTGATTTGAATATGCCATGTACATACCTATATATTTGCAAGTTTTCTCCCCTATTAGAATATAAGGTCCTTGAGGGCAAACACTTTTCCTTTTTTTGCCTTGGAATTCCCAAGGTGTTTAAATGTTTATTGAATTGTGGTATATGAATATAATGGCATTCTACTGTGCCATAGGAAATGATGAAGAATGGTTTCGGAGAAACCTAATAAGACCTGTATGAACTGATGCAAAGCAATGAGCAGAACCAGGAGAACAATTTATGCTATATTAACAATACAGTAAAAATGAACAATCTTGACCGACTTCAATCCTGATCAATGCAATTCTCGTTCATGATTCCAGAAGACTGATGATGAAGGATGCTCCCCACTTCTTCACAAAGGGGTAATAACTAAAGAATGAGATACACATTTTTTGAACATAGCCAATAGAGGAATTTAGTTTGCTCAATGATGAATATTCATTACAAAGTTTTGGTTTGGGTTGGGTTTAGGGGAGGAAGAGAAAATGATTATTCATCGAAACATTAAAATAAAAAATATTTGTTGATTAATTATAAGGATCAATTGAAATCATGTACAAAGAAGTGACATTTAACATCAGCCATTATTATACTGCTTCTTACCTTGCTTTTACCATTCCACTTGTCCACCAGATGGATTTTGCTGAAGTCTTTGACACCAGTAAACACAGTGAACAATCCTGAATCGGAGTTGTTAAACTACAGATAATTGGAAAGACACAAGTCAAGTCTCCTGGGGAACTCGGTGAACATGTAGGCTCATTCAATTTAATTCAACAAGCCTTTATTTATATGAGTATGAACAAAGTCGGTGTATTCTGAGACAGAGAGGAGGGTACTGAAGATGGGAGTGCTCCTAGACACTTTCAGGAAGCATACCATCAGATTTCCATCCTTGTTATGAGAATTACTTTATATTCTTGTTCAGTCATTTCAATCACGTCTGACTCTTTGTGACCCCATTTGGGGTTTTCTTTGCAAAGACACTGGAGTGATCTGCCATTTCCTTCTCCAGCTCATTTGACAGATGAAGGAAACTGAGGCAAACAGGGTTAAGTGACTTGCCCAAGGTCACACAGCTAGCAGGTGTTTGAGGCCACATTTGATCTCAGGATTTCTTGACTCCAGGCCTGGCACTCTATCCACTAGCTGCCATACTAACAACTCCCAAAACATCATGGATGCTAGGGCTCTTAAAGCAACCTAAAATCACATTAGCTTTTTTTTTCTTTTTGGTTAGGCAGTGGGGTTAAGTGATTTGCCCAGGGTCACACAGCTAGTATTATGTATCTGAGGCCAGATTTGAACTCAGGTCCTCCTGAATCCAGGACTGGTGCTCTATCTGCTACGCCACCTACCTGCCCCCACATTAGCTTGTTTTAAGCTGTCATATCCAGCTGTTGACTAATAGTGGGCATAAAGTCTACCAACACCCCCCCCCCATACACACACAACCGTTTGCAGATAAACTACTATCTAACCATATCTCATCTGTCTTGTCCTTGTGGCACTGATTTTTTTGGATCCATGTCAAATAGGTTGCTAGGTGGTGCAGTGGATAGAATGCCAGGCCTGATCTCGCCTCAGACACTTCCTAGTTGTGTGGTCCTGGGCAAGTCACTTAACCCTGCTTGCCTCAGTTTCTCCATCTGTACAATGAGCTGGAGAAAGAAATAGCAATCCACTCCAATATCTCTGCAAGAAAATCCCTAACAGGGTCACCAAGAGTTGGATATAACTGAAAAACTACACATAGCACCTGCTATCTTCCAGGTACTATGCTATAAGTGTTTTACAAATATTATCCCATTTTGATCCTCACAACAATCCTGAGAAAGCGGTGTTGTTACTATCCCCATTTTACAGTTGAGGAAACTGAGGAAGACAGAGATTAAATGCTTTGCCCAGGGTCACACAGCTGGGAAGTACCAGATGCTGGATTTGAACTTGAGTCTTCGTGATTTTAGGCTCAGTACTCTAATGCACCACCTAGCTGTCTCATCACACTTGGTTCTGCCCAGTGTTTTAGCCTACCACGGCTTTTTTCCTTCCTCAAGGTCAGACAGCTCTAATTTTTAGAGGAGGTTGTTCACCCTAGATCAGTACACTAGCCCTGAACTCACAGGCTCACTTCTCCGGGATTCTCCAAAACGATGCCAACCATGTATAGCTTCGGGCAGGTCCTCCCAAGCTACAGAGGCCTCGAGGAAGGGCCTGCCTAATGGTGGACGGACTCCATGTCAGATATCTGAGCACCAGCCATGAGCAAGTTGACATTTGTCATAGTTGTTTATATATATTAGACTGTAAGCTCTTAGAGGGCAAGGACTTTGTTTTATCTTTCTTTGTATCCCCAGTGTTTATTTAGCACACAGTGCCTACCACATAATAGGTAATTAATAAATGTCCACTGATGGGCCGAATGAATTTTTTTTCAGTCACAGTAACTCATAAAGAGCATTAAGATGTATATAACAGAGTCTTCATTCTGGAGTCAGAACCCCTGGGTTCAAATCCTATCTCTAACACTCAGCTACTTTGGTGATCTCGGCTAACTCGCTTAGCTTCCCTGGGCCTCAGTTTCCCTATCTGTAAAAATGAAGAGCTTGAAGGGAATTGGCCAGCTTGAGAGATGATGTGTTCCCTCTCATTGGGATGGAGGGGGATAGGGAGTATTCTAGCACAGAGGACAGATAATCACTGGATGGATTTTTTTTTTTTGGCAAGGCAATCAGGGTTAAGTGACTTGCCTAGGGTCACACAGCTAGTAAGTATTATGTCTCTGAGGCCAGATTTTAACTCAGGTCCTCCTGATTCCAGGGCCAGTGCTCAATCTACTGCGCCACCTAGCTGCCCCCTGGATGGAGATTTTTTTTTTATGAGTATAGGATGGATGACCAACACGGAAAGACGTTTTGCACATGTATAACCTCTATCAAATTGCTCACCTTCTCAATGAAAGGGGTAAGGGAGGGAGAGAGGGAGGGAATTTGGTGATCAGAAATTCTAAAAAACGAATGTTAAAACTTGTTTTTACATGTAATTGGGGAAAAAATAAAATATTAAATTTCAGTATAAAGTGGACTGAATGGCCACTGCGGTCCCCTCAAATTCTGTGATTCTGAAATGCTCACCCACCACAAAGCCTAGGGTCACATTAAAAGGGGCTTAGAACAGCAGAAACAGCCCTTCCCCATTCCTCTGCTGCTAACTTTCTGGATGACATTGAACAAGTAACTTCTTCTCACTAGGCCTTGGTATAACCTCAGTCAAATGATGGCACCAGAATACACGAGGCCCCTTCTACTGCTAAAGGTCTGTGGGTCTAATTCCAAAGGGCAATGGAAGGCCACCAGCTGTCGAGGGGACGTTTGGAATGAATGAGCCTTCCCATCCACATCAGATACTCTGAGCAACAATTTAATCCATTAATCAGTGAGCATCGATTAAGCACCTGCTAAGCGTCAGGCACTGTTTACAAATTCTCAAGTTTAGGGCATACACACGGGATGGTGGGTGGCCTGGCAGAGAATGTTTCATCTGCATGTTTATTCATTTGTTTATTTATCCATGCTAATTTCACACTATATCTAGCAAAGAGTGTTTTGTTTATTTGTTTATTATTGTTCATACTATTTTCACCTGGCAAAGAACATTTCATTCATTCATTCATTTATTTTATCCATGCTAATTTCACACTATATCTAGCAAAGAGCATTTTGTTTGTTTATTTAATTTATTTATGTTTATTTATCATTTATCGATAAATGAAATTCATTCATTTATTTATTTTATTCATGCTAATTTCACACTATATCTAGCAAAGAATGTTTTGTTTATTTATGTGTTCATTTATTTGTTTACTTTTTCATGTTAATTTCACACTATACCTGGCAAGGAATGCTTCATTCATTCATTCATTTTATCCATGCTAATTTCACACCATATCTAGCAAAGAGCATTTTGTTTGTTTATTTATTTTATTTATTTATGTTTATTTATCATTTATCGATAAATGAAATTCATTCATTTATTTATTTTATTCATGCTAATTTCACACTATATCTAGCAAAGAGTGTTTTGTTTATTTATGTGTTCATTTATTTGTTTACTTTTTCATGTTAATTTCACACTATACCTGGCAAGGAATGCTTCATTCATTCATTCATTTTATCCACGCTAATTTCACACCATATCTAGCAAAGAGCATTTTCTTTGTTTATTTATTTTATTTATGTTTATTTATCATTTATCGATAAATGAAATTCATTCATTTATTTATTTTATCCATGCTAATTTCACACTATACCCAGCAAAGAACGTTTCTTTCATTCATTCATTCATTTATATATTTTATCCATGCTAATTTCACACTATATCTAGCAAAGAGCATTTTGTTTGTTTATTTAATTTATTTATGTTTATTTATCATTTATCGATAAATGAAATTCATTCATTTATTTATTTTATTCATGCTAATTTCACACTATATCTAGCAAAGAATGTTTTGTTTATTTATGTGTTCATTTATTTGTTTACTTTTTCATGTTAATTTCACACTATACCTGGCAAGGAATGCTTCATTCATTCATTCATTTTATCCATGCTAATTTCACACCATATCTAGAAAAGAATATTTTGTTCATTTATTTGTTTATCATTGTTCATGCCAATTTCACGCTACACCTGGCAAGCCTGCAGAGCAGCAGAAGCCTCCCTCTTTCTGTCAGGAAGATTGGGGAATATGAGTGAAGAACGTTCCATGTAGGCTCTCAAGGCCACCAGTTTTTCTGATCTTTTTTTTAAATCTTCATCATAAAGGAAGGCTCACTGGACTAAAATGGGGTGGGGAGCCAGCAAAAGAGGGAAAGAGTGTGACAGGAAAGAAAAAGACATAGATAAAATGTTTTTCATGGCTATGCTCTATACACAGAAGAGCAGCAACTGACCAGGTTTAAGGTATTTGCTTTCAAAGGACAGGCCGCTAGGTGGCGCAGTGGATAAAGCTCTGGCCTTGAAGTCAGGGGGAACCTGAGTTTAAATGTGGCCTCAGATATGACATTTATTAGCTGTGTGACCCTGGGCAAGTCACTTAATCCCGACTGACTGCCTCACCAAAAAGCAAAAACAAAAAAACAAAAACAAAACTCCTTTTCAAAGGGTGAGCTAACCAGCCGTGTGTGTGTGTGTGTGTGTGTGTGTGTGTGTGTGTGTGTGTAGTATTTTGACACATTCCGACTCACCTCTGAAAATAAGCCAAATTTATCTTTAAATGGCAACATGTTAGGGAAGTATTTATTCAGCAGATCAATGAGGGGATCGCGATAACCCCACAAGATCTCCCCCACCGTGCGGTTCATGAAGGCCCGCTGGCCGAACATGCTGAATGACAGGCTCATGAGCAGTTTCATGGACATGGGTCTCTGTTCCATCATCACTGAGGACGCCTAGAACAGAGCAAGGGAGAAGACACCAATGTCATCAGGAGATCTGGGGTTCAAGACTAGGGAGGAAAGAAGGATCTTTTACCACCCACCACACCCTGACCTTTATTATTTTTTTTTTTATTTTTAGCCAATTGGGGTTAAGTGACCTGCCCAGGGTCACACAGCTAGTGTCAAGTGTTTGGTCTGAGGCTGGATTTGAACTCAGGTCCTCCTGACTTCAGGGCCGGTGCTCTGTCCACTGTGCCACCTAGCTGCCCCTGACCTTTATTATTATCAAATATGTTTTCAAGTCCCAGCTAAAAACTCACCTTCTTCTGCAAGAAGCCTTTCCCCACCCCTGAATTCTGAAGCCTCTCCTCAGGATTACCTCCATTTTATACCGTCCAAGACTGGTTTGTATGCCGTCTCCACCGTTAGACTGCAAGCTCCCTGAGGGCAGGGATGGTCTTTTGTCTTTCTTTGTATTACCAGCATTTGGCACAGTTCCTGGCACACCCGTAGGCCTTTAGTAAATGTTTATTGACTGACACCACAGAACAGGAAGTGACTGTCCATTTCCTTAGATGCAGGTTGATATTCAATTCCCATCCTCCCCTCCCAGCTGTCAAGAAAGACTCCACCAGAAAGACAGGGAGGGGTAGCAGAAAGTGCAAGAGCCTACATCTGAGCCAAGTTTTCAGGTCAACAAACCAGGTCAACAGGCATTTATTAAGCATTTACTGTGTGCCAGGCATTGTGCTAATCACAACAGGAAGGCAAAAACAAAGTCTCTGCCCTCAAGGAGTTTACAGTCTAAGGTTCTAAAGGAAACCAGGGATTCTGAGAGGTGAGGTCAAAGAAGGAGGGAACCCAGGCAAAGGGAAAAGGGAGGACCAAGGCACCAGGGCTAGAGATGGAGGGTTGTGGAAGAGGAGCAGTTAGAGGTCAGTCTGACTGGACCACAGAGTATGTGAGGAGGACTGATGTCCAGTAAGCCCCAGAAGGCAGGTGGCGGTCAGGTCCAGAAAGGTTTTAAATGCCAAGCAGAGGAGAAGTTTGGATTTGATCCTGGAGACCATAGGAGCCACTGAAGTTTCTTGAGCAAAGGGGTGACCGGTTCAGACCTATGCTTAGGATTACTCCTTGTCTGCCCTCCGGATGATGGACCTGAAAGGGCTAAATCCAGGATGGTGCTGCAGCTAGCTCAGTTGTTAAATTTCCAGTGTAAGAATTGACACCTCAGAAATCAGCAAATGCTTAATTTATTGTTTTATTGATTATCTTCACTTAAGAAAGTGATGGAAAAAGTGTTTAAAATGCAGTATATTTGGGGGGTGGGGACAGTCGTTAAAAAACATTTACCAGTACAACCCTGGCAAAGTCCCTTTAATCTCTGTCTACCTCAGTCTTCCCACTCTGTCAAATGGGCATAGTGGCTGACCTCCTCCCCACCCCCCACTACCTACCTCCTTAGGTAAGTGGTGGAATCCTGCACCCTAAGGATATTCTGATTAAGACGCTAACATTTCTCAAATATGTGAAGAATTGGGTCAAATTTATAAGAATATAAGTCATTCCCCAATTGATACATGGTCAAAGAATATGAACAGGCAGTTTTCAGATGAAGAAATTAAAACTATAATCATATAAAAAAATGCTCTAAATCTATTTATTGGAGAAATGCAAATTAAAACAACTCTGAGATACCCCCTCACACTTACCACATTGGCTAATATGACAGAAAAGGAAAACAACAAATGCTGGAGGGGGTGTGGGAAAACTGGGTCACTAATACACTATTGGTGGAGTTGTGAACTGATTCAACCATTCTGAAGGGCAATTAGGAACTATGTCCAAAGGGCTATAAAACTGTGCACAAAACCTTTGACCCAGCAATATAATTACTAGGTTTCTATCTCAAAGAGATAAAAAACGAAAAGGAAAAGGACCCAAGTGTACAAAAATATTCATAGCAGCTCTTTTTGCTGTGGCAAAGAACTGGAAACTGAGGGGGTGCCCATCCATTGGGGAATGGCTGAGCAAGTTGTGGTATATGAATGTAATGGAATACTATTGTGGTATAAAAAAATGACAAGCAGGATGCTTTCAGGAAAACCTGGGAAGACTTAGATGAACTGATGCAAAGTGAAACGAGCAGAACCAGAACACTGTACACAGTAACAGGAACAGTCTATGGCGATCAGCTGCAGATGACTTAGCTACTCTCGGTGATACAATAATCCGAAATGATGAGAAAAGCTATCCACCTCCAGAGAGAGAAGTGATGGGGTCTGAATGCAGAGCGAGGCATACTATTTTTCACTCTCTTTATTCTTCTTGGGGTTTTTGGTTTGTGTTTTCTTTCACAACACAACTAATATGGGAGTATGTTTTACATGATTGCACATGCAGAACTGATATCAAATGGCTTGTCTTCTCAAGGATGAGTGAGGGGAGGGATAGAATTTGATACTCAAAAAAATTTTTTGAATGTCAAAAATTGTTTTTGCATGCAATTGGAAAAAAATTAAATATTTTTTTAAAAATTTAAAGATTAAGAAATGAAAATGCCCTTGGAAAGACTCAAAAGGGCCACACAAAAGCACAGCATCATTGTTCCTAGTAACACAAACGATGACCAGGGATGTTTGCCCCAGTCTTCTCTTCCCCATTCCTTCTGGAATTTCAAGATGAAATACAAGGACATCTCATCAGTCCTTTTTCTGTCTGACTTGGTCTCCATTTCCTGACCCATCAGAGAAGGCAGTCATTCCCTCAAGATATCAAGAGTAAGTTCATTTACTCTCTCCCAGAATTGCTACTTAACATCAGAAGTGGGATTTGAACCACGTCTCCTGGTTCTCCAAATCTGCCATATTTTCTGCTGTGTTCACATCCCTTCTCCCCATTTCAGAACAACCCTGTGACATAGTAGCTATTATTATCTCCATTTTACAGATGTAGAAACTGAGGAAGACAGAGGTTAAGTGAATTGTCTACGGTCACACAATGAACAAGTCAAGTCAATAAGCTTGTATTAAATTTCAATTACGGACCAGGCCCTGTGCAAAACTCTGCAGCTTCAAAGAAAAGCAGAAGACAGCCCCTGCCCTCAAGGGGCTCACAGTCTAATGGAAGAGACAACATGAAAAAAATTTTGGACAAACAAAGTATATAGAGGATAAACTCAAGATAATTAAGAGAGAGAAGGCATTAAAGAGGCCTGGGAAAGGTGGGATTTTAGCTGAGACTTCCAAGAGGTAGAGACAAGATAGAGAGAGAGAGACAGAGAGGAAGAGGAGAAATGGAGAGATAGAAAGACAGAAGGAGAGGAAGGGGAGAGACAGAGAGAAAGACAGACAGAGAGGAGAGGGAGAGAGAAAGAGAGACAAAGACAGAAAGAGAGATAGAAGAGAGAGACAAAGAAAGCGAGACAGAGAAAGAAAAAGAGAGAGAAGAGGGAGAAAGGGAGAGAGGAGAAGGGGAGAGAAGAGAGAGAGAGAAAGAAAAAGAGGGGGAGAGAGAGAGAAAGAGAGAGAGGAGGGAGAGAGAGAGAAAGAAAAAGAAAGAGAGGAGGGAGAGAGAGAAAGAGAGACAGAGACAGAAAGAGAGAGAGGAGAGAGACAAAGAAAGAGAGAGAAGAAAGAGAGAAGAGGGAGAGAGGGAGAAAGGGAGAGAGGAGGGGGAGAGAGGAGAGAGAGAGAAAGAAAAAGAGGGGGAGAGAGAGAGAAAGAGAGAGAGGAGGGAGAGAGAGAGAAAGAAAAAGAAAGAGAGGAGGGAGAGAGAGAAAGAGAGACAGAGACAGAAAGAGAGAGAGGAGAGAGACAGAGAGAGAGAAGAAAGACAGAGAAAGAAAAAGAGAGAAGAGGGAGAGAGGGAGAAAGGGAGAGAGGAGAGGGGGAGAGAGAAGAGAGAGAGAAAGAAAAGGAAAGAGAGGAAGGGGAGAGAGAGAGAAAGAGAGAGGAGGGAGAGAGAAAGAAAAAGAAAGAGAAAGAGAGGAGGGGAAGAGAGAGAAGGAAGGAGGGGGGGAGAGAGAGAGAGAGAGAGGGAGAGAGAGAGAGAGAGAGAGAGAGAGAGAGAGAGAGAGAGAGAGAGAGAGAGAGAGAGAGAGAGAGAGTGTTTTCCAGGAATAGGAGAGAGCCAGCAAAAAAGCCTGAAGTCAGAAAATGAAGTGCATTGTTAGTAGTCAAAACATCAGTGTCACTGGACCGAGGAAGACAAGGGAAGGAGTAAAGTTTGAGAAGGCAGGAAAGGTAAAAGGGGGGAGGGCCAAGATTATGAAGAAGCTTAAAAGTCAAACAGAAGATTTTGATACTGAAGGTTACAGGGAGTCAGTGGAATCTGTAGGAGTAAACAGGTCACCCCTTTGCTCAAGAAACTTCAGTGGCTCCTATGGTCTCCAGGATCAAATCCAAACTTCTCCTCTGCTTGGCATTTAAAACCTTTCTGGACCTGACCGCCACCTGCCTTCTGGGGCTTACTGGACATCAGTCCTCCTCACATACTCTGTGGTCCAGTCAGACTGACCTCTAACTGCTCCTCTTCCACAACCCTCCATCTCTAGCCCTGGTGCCTTGGTCCTCCCTTTTCCCTTTGCCTGGGTTCCCTCCTTCTTTGACCTCACCTCTCAGAATCCCTGGTTTCCTTTAGAACCTTAGACTGTAAACTCCTTGAGGGCAGGAACCTTGTTTTTGCCTTCCTGTTGTGATTAGCACAATGCCTGGCACACAGTAAGTGCTTAATAAATGCCTGTTGACCTGGTTTGTTGACTTGAAAACTTGGCTCAGATGCAGGCTCCTGCATTTTCTGCCACCTCTTCCTGTCTTTCTGGTGGAGTCTTTCTTGACAGCTGGGAGAGGAGGGAGAGGAGGGTGCGTGCCACGGTCAGACCTATGCTTTGGGAAGATCAATGTGACAAATGATTGCAGGATGGGGCAGAGAGAGGAGGAACCAATCCGCAGTCCAAGCATGAGGTGATGAGAACCTGCATGCCAGTGACGGCAGCATCAGAGGAGAGAAGATGTTACCAAGGAAAAAGAGGAGAGAAGCCTTAGCAACTGACGGGATACACGGGAGGAGAGGGATGGAGATTCTGAGCTGGGATGACTCAGAGGCTAGAGATTCCTTTGATGGGAAGAAAGAAGTCAGGAATGGGGGAAGGAAGATAACAAGTCCCATTTTGGACATTTGCATTTCAAATGCCTACAGGATGGTCCCATAGGGAGGTAGACAGGGAAGTCTGGAAGTAGGAAAGAGGGTGGGGCTGGAGAGGTAGATCTGAGAGCTATTCTCATAGAGATGACAATGGAATCCATGGGAGCTGATAAGATCACCAAATGAAATGGTGTAGAAGGAGAAGAGGAAGGAGAAGAAGGGGGGATGGGGAAGGAGAAGGGGAAGAAGGAGGGGAAGGGGGAAAGGAAGGGAAAGAGGAAGGGGAACAGGAAGAGAAAGAGGAAGGGGAACAGGAAAGGAAAGGGGAAGGAGAAAGAGGAGAAGGGGAAGGGGAAGAGGAAAGGAAAGGGGAAGGAGAAGGGGAAGGGAAGGGAGAAGAAGAAGGGGAGGGGGAAGAGGAAGGGGAAAGGGAAGAGGGAGGGGAAGAGGAAGGACAAGGGGAATGGGAAGAGGGAGAGGAAGAGGAAGGGGAAGAGGAAGGCGAAGGGGAAGGAGAAGGGGAAAGGGAAGAGGGCCTAGAATAGAGCTTTGAGGATGCAGTTGGAGGGTAGGACCTAGATGAAGATCCAGCAAAGGAGACTGGGCAGTGGTCAGACAGGTAGGAGAAGAACTCGGAGAGATCAGTGTCCCGAAAATCTCAAGAGAAGAAAAGAGGATGCTCAATGGTGTCAAAGGTTTCAGAGTGCTCAAGAAGGATAACAACTGAGAAAAGGCAAGCAATGATCTGAGAGGTGAGATCGGAACTCAGGTCTTCCTGCCTCCGAATCCTGCCCTCTCACCCACTGTACCATGTAGCTGTCTGTGGCAGTGTGTGCTGGACTCACCAAGACCAAGAGATTGGGCATCACGATGTAATCGGTTTCTAAGCCATGGGACATTTCAGGCTGGAACACAAAAGTCCGGTATTCTAAGAAGGACACCGTGTCATTGTCATTGAAAGTGATGTTTCGTTTCTGTCTGTATTCTCTGTGAAAACAAACAAAGGGGACCCATAAGCGCCCCATCTGCCAACCTCTCTCACACACTCCATTCCCAGGGCCATCTCCTCTACATCAGCCCTTCACACGGACTATTCAGAGTCTTGTAATAGGGCTCTCTGCTGTAAATATCTCCCCCAATTAGATAGGAGGTCCTTGAAAGCAGAGACTACCTCCCTCTGCCAAGTATATTCCCAGGGCTGAGCAAAATTAAAATTAGTAAATGCTTTGACACTGAATCCCCTTCTCAGTTGCTATAACACCATCCCTCCCAACCCCAGCTCACCACCCCCAGGCATTCTGCCCTGATGTTCCTTAATACCCCTCTCTCCTGCTCTAACAAGACTCCAGAATTCAGACTGCAGGGTCCCAGCAGTCCTGCACCCACATGTTCCTGACTTCTTATATAGAGAGTTATGACATCGGGTGTTCTTGGCAAAACTCCCCATGTGACTAACATTCCAGGGATCCCATCCAGGGCCGTGTAATTCCCATAAGCACACTCTACTTATGGTAATTAATAGCTCAAAGTCTACCTCTTCCAGGAAGCCTTCCATGAAAAAAAATCTCAATGCTACCACTTACAGAAGAAAACAAAACAAACAAACAAAAAATCACCCTGTGATTTCACTGGTACAGAGCAAGGATTCTTAATTTTTTGTGTGTCCTGAAAGCCTTAAGCAGTCAATCTGATGAAGTCTATGGACCCCTTCTCAGAATCATGTTTTAAATGCACAAAATAAAATAGCAAGACAAAGGAAACTAAGCATTAGTGGAAGTAAAGATGTAACTTTTTTCCTACCCAAATCGACAAACCTCTGAAATCTAGCCATGGCGCCCTGGGGAGCGAAGGGGAGGGAAAAGAAGGTGTTAGTGTACCCCAAGTTAAAAAAATCCCTCGGTATAGAGAGTTCATGGCGAGGAAGTCCATTTATTGATGAAGATCAGTACCTTTCTGTCTAGTCTTAGCTACAGCAGGGTTTTGGAACCTGGGTCTGTGAACTTTCAAAATATTTTGATAAGTGTATTTTTTATGTTTTTGAAGGCTGGGTCTTCCTGTCTCCACCCAAGCTGGAACAGTAGCAGTCACTCTTGGGTCCAATCCCAATACTGATCGGCAAGGACGCTTTAACCTGCTCCATTTTTCTGCCCTGGGTCAGTTTCACCCTTCCTTAGGCCTACCCTGCCCCACCCCAACCCTGGCCCCCTGCTGTCAGAGGCTCACCAGATTGGTGGTGCCCGAATCAGTGAGGACACTAACTAGGCTGAAACATTTCTGAGGCTCAGAACTCCTAACCTGAGAAGATACACCAGCCTCTGCCTCCCCAGCAGGCAGGGACCATCCCTGGCTGATAACTGCATTTCAACACAGCCTCTGGTAATCCAACATATTTTATTTTATGCACATAACAAACCGTGATGAGCTTTACCCAACTGCTAAAAGACCGCAGGACAGAAAAGGGGACCAAGAACCCCTGTCCTAGAGAGCTGTCTGGGGCAATAGGGAGTTAAGTGACTCACCCAGGGTAGCTCAGCCAATAGGCGTCAGGATCAGAGTTTGAACCCAGATTTTCTGATTCTGAGTCCATGTCTCCAAACCCAGCAGCACATAGCCTCCAGGGCACCATGATTTCTAATCGCTTTTTAATCCTGTCTTCCTCAGGTCCTCAAAGACTGGATTTCTGTCTTTGCTTTAAGGCCTTTCTAAACACAAGTACCTATGAAACCCACCTACTACAAGAAGCTTCCCCCAACCCCTCTTAATTCTAGCGCCTCCTCTCTTTTAATTATCTCCTATTTATCCTGCATATAGCTTGGTTTGTATATATTTATTTGCATGTTAGGTCCCCCCCTTAGATTGTAAGCTCCTTGAGGACAAGGACTGTCTTTTGCCTCTTTTTGTATCCCCGATGCTTAGCAAAGTGCATGGCACATAGTAGGCATTTAATAAATATTGATCGATTGATTAGGATGTTATTCATCCCGCCTGTTCTGAATTAGACATGCCCCTACTGGGGAGCGAGGCGCAGTCACCAGATGACCTCGGGGCCCTTCAACCTTCTTGGTCACCTCAGTAACTGGTCAGTAAATGCCTACCATGTGCAAGGTGCCATTCCTCTGTGGTCTCCTTACACCTCATCAAAGTAACTGACTCCCTCGAAGCATCCTCACTCCTCTCCTTAGGTCACAGGGTGAGAATTCCTGCCCCGTGTTGAAAAATTTGTTAAGTGATTGTTTCTGCCCCCAATCTCACTGGCCTTTGAGGCCAGGTGCCAGGTCTTTGTACCAAAGCAGTATCAGTCTTTTCTGCTTCTTCTGCCCTCTGGTAAAATGGCAAAATCCGCGCACGCGCACACACACACACAGACACACACACCCCTCTTGTTTGTAGGTTGTGCTGCCTCTCCTCCCCTCCCCCATTAGACCAGAGCTCCTTTAAGGCAGGGACTGTTTTTGCCTTTCTTTGTATCCCTGGCCCTCAGCAGCACATAGCAGGCGCTTAACAAATGCTTGTTCATTCAGCTATGCCCCATGACATTATGATATTCTATCATTCTGTTCAAGATGAACTAACTTCAATGCAACACCTACTCGGCCTCCACTGTGAGCACAGATCTTTAAATGCCCCCTTCTCTGTGACCGGGAGATTCTGGTGACCCAAAGGTTCTCCCTGCTGTGGCTGTCCCAGAGAGCCGCCACGGGCAGCCAGGTCCAGTCTTGTTGCTCTACTCCCCGGGGTGCCCCGCAGCCAGAACCCACCTGCCCGCAGCACCCGAGGGCGGCCTGGGGAGCTGCTCACCTGTAGACGTAAGGCCCCCGCTCCTGAATGCTGGGCTTCTCCCCGTTCAGCACTTCGTCCGAGTTCATGACGTGGAACAGGTACACGGACATGTAGAAGGGAACGGGGATCTCCTTCCACATATCGAAGGACAGGCTGCTGGGGTTGACCCTGACATTCTGTAGAGGAGAGGAAACACATGCATACATACATACATACACACACACACACACACACACACACACACACACACACACACACACACACACACACACACACAAAATCAACAAGGTTTGTTTAGTATTTGTATCCATGCAAATAAAAGTCTTTTCACCACAGCCGCCTTGGTGGGTCCTGGCACTCTAGGGATGGCGTCTGAACTCTGAGACAAGGCACAAGATGCCAGCGTCTCCAGGGAAGACAAGGAGGATGCACAGGCACCATGCGGGCTGGTGCAGGAAGGATAACTGTGCATCTCAGACGTCTGCTTTACAAGTCCCCAGGTGTAGAGATCCTCTGGTCCAACCACCTCATTCCACAGGTGAGGAAACCGAGTTTCAGAGAAGGTAAGTGACTTGTCCAAGGTCACATAGGTTGTAGTAGGTTCAGTGGAGGTGGAGAAACTGGCATTACAAGGACCAAGCTCAGTGCCCAAGACAAGAGGAGAAAACATCCCTGAGCGGGAAGGGGAGACACAGGAACAGAATTCTTACTATGCCGTCAGCTTCCAAGGAGACGACTTCTGTGTTATAAGAGACAGATCTCTGGGAGAGGGGGAGGGGAGGGAGGGGAGAAAGTAATGGGATGGAGATTAAGTGAGGTAACTGGAAAGGAAGGTAACAGAAAAGGCAGCCGGTGTCAATAACTTCTGTAAAGAGACGGAACCACGCCAGTAATGGCCTTCCTTGATGTACAAGTGAGGACCTCTCCCCCCACCACTCTGTGGTTTCAAGTACTGTGTGCACGCATGCACACATGTGTATATGCGTGTTTGTGTGCAGTGTGTCTATAATGTGCGTGTACATGTATGTGTACGTGCGTGCATATCATATGTGCATGTACACTCGTGTGTGTTCACATGCGTGTATATGTGTGTTTAGATGTAATGTGTATGCGTCCATTCTGTGTGTGTGTTGTATGTACGTGTGTGTGTACTGTGTACGTGTGTATATGTGTATATTGCAATGTATTTGTGTATGTATGTATATATGTATAATGTATTGTACCTATGTGCATGTGTATTTATATGCATGTATATGTGTATGTGTAGGTTGTTATGTGTGTATTTGTATACATGTATATGTGCATTCTATGTGTATGTGTGTATTGCATTGTGTACATGTGTGTACATTGCATTGTGTATGTGTATGCATGTGCATTTATATGCTTGTATAGGTGTATATGTAGGTGTGTTATGTGTGTGAACATATGTAGACGTGCATTTTATGTGCATGCATGCATATATGTATTGTATGTGTATATGTATATATTTCATTGCATATGCTTGTATATATGTGTGTGTTTATATCTATGTGCATGTGTATTTATATGTGTGTATATATAGGTTATGTGTGTATATATGTATATTGCATTCTATGCACATACGTGTACATATGTGTTGCATGCACGTGTGTATGTGTGTATTATAAAATGTGCATGTGTTGCATTATATAGGTATATGTGTATATGTATGTTGTGTTATATGTGTGCGTGTGTATATATGTGCATTAAGTGTATGTACATATTGTATGTGTGTACGTGTATGTGTGTGTACTGTGTGTGTATGTATATGTATATATTGCATTGTATATGTATATATGTATGCGTGGGTATATATACGTATATTGTATTTATTGTATGTGTATATGTGTATCTATGTGCATGTGTATTTAAGTATGTGTACATAGGTATATGTAGGTGTGTGTATGTCTATATGTGTATGTCTATATGTGTATGTGCATTTTATGTATATGTATACATGTGTATATTGTGCTGTATATGTGTATATACATGTATGTGTGTATGTGTGAGTGGTTATTGTATATGTGTGTGTATATATAGGTACATGCATATATATACATGTATGTGTGTATATGTATGTGTGTATGGTATATAGTATGCATATGTGTATATATATGTATATGTATATATATATATATACACATATATATTTTTTTAAAGACATATAGTACAATGGAAAGAATGGTGAGTGGAGACAGGAGGACCTGGTTCAGATTCTACCTATGATGTTCACCTGAGACCCTGGGCAAATCACCTCCTGTACCGGGGCCTCAGTTTCCTTAACTGTAAAATGAAGCTGGCAGCTGCCCTGGCCGGCTAGCAGCAGCAAAGCTGAAGCCTCGCATCCCTGCTGGCCACACAGCATCGAGAATTGGGCTTAGGGGTGGAGGGGTGCTAAGGAGAACCTGTGGTAGGTCTGAACCCACTTCCCCTGGCCCCAGGTGGTAGAGGGGAAAGTATTCCACCCCCATACCCCAGGTGTTGGGAGGAATGTTTGTACTTGCGCTCCTGCATTGTCTTTGAAGTGATTATATCCCTTTGAACAAGCCAAAAAATTAGACAGAAGTGAGGGGGATGGACCTAATGACCTCCAGGGTCCCTTCCCATTTTCCATCCAGGATTCAATGAGGCATGCGGTGTCGGCCAACAAATCCGAGCAGAGGAAAACCAGGCCAAAGCTGGAGAGACACTTTCTCAGGGCCTGGCTTCTCCCTGGCATTCCCACTTCTGGCCCAGTTAACAAGTCAAATTAAATCACTTTAGCATCTGGGCAACCAGGCGTTCTTTCTGTTGGAAGCAAGCTCAGAACACGGCACAGGCAGGTTGAGGCAGCTACAACCACATTGCCAGCACAATCCTTCATCCCCTTCCCCCAACACCCAACACCCAGAGAGGCGGACGATCTGTCCATCTCGTGCCCTCCGGCTTGGCCAGCTCAGTCCTTTGTCAGCCTAAACAGCTCCATCTCCCTCCCCGGGGAAAACACAAGAGCGGTCTTTTTGTGGGGACAAAGAACTAGAAAGTGAGCAGTACCCGCCCACCTGGGAATGGAGGAACAAATTTTGGCACATATGTGGCATTGTGCTCTCAGAAATGACGATGGGGACAATTTCCGGGAAACCTGGGAAGATTTGCACACTGCAATGATTTATACAATAACTTCATAAAGATAACTGTTTGAAAGCCTTAAGGAGTCGGAAAAATACAATGACTAATTGCAGTTCCAGAGAACTGATGAAGAAACTGCTACTGCCCTCCTGACGGAGACATGATGGGCTCGGGGTGAAGAAAGAGGCAGACATTTTTTGGCATGTTGTCGATGCAACAATCAGTTTTTGCTTAATTTTGCACATTACGAGGGTTTTGTTTTTCCTTCCCCCATTCCCCCCATCATGAGGAGGGAGGAGAGAGGGAAGAGAGAAAGAGAAAATAGATTTAATTTTTTTAATTAATTAAAAATAATAAAAACAACAAATTATTCAATTGCGTTTCTCAGAAAGAGGCTAGCCTATCCAGGAAGGCCTTTGAAATGCAAGAAAACTCTTTCCCTTTTCCTCATCTGACTGGTTTGTGGACTGTAACCACAAGAACCCAAAGGCAAAAAAAAAAATGCTTTTCAGCCACCTCACACCCATGTCTTTCCCTTAGGGAGCTCAAGCCTTCGACTAGCATCTCATCCCATAGCCAGGGTACCAGAATCCTTTTCCCCTACTCCAACCCCAATCCCCACTGCAAAGTCTACCCATCCCTCAGGACCCAACCCAAGAGTGACCCACTTCAATGGGGTCATTCCCTGTCTGGTCCAGTGACCGTTCATCTCTCCTTTGACACATGCCTCTTCCACTGGTCTTATCACTCAGTACTCTGCGTCTTCATCTGGTACAGCAAAAAGGGCACCGGACTTAGGAGTCATAAAGACGTGAGTTCAAATCCAGCCTCAGACATTTATTAGCTGTGTGACCCCCCCCCCAGCATGTCATTTCACCTCTTTGCTTCAGTTTCCTCAACCCTAAAATAGGGGTCATAACAGCACCTGTCTTACAGGTTTGCTGTGAGGATCAAGTGAGATCATATTTGTAAAGTGCTTAACACAGTGCCTAGCACATAGCAGGTGCTATAGAAATGCTTATTCCCTTTCCCCTTCCCTATATCTATGGATAACATTTCTTCTTCGGATAATATATCCATTTCCCTTATTTCTGTCCCTGAGGAGGCGGTGAGGTGGGGGGGGGGTGAGTCCTGGGTTTGGACTCACAGGACCTGAATTCAAATCTTCCCTCTGACACTATCTCTAGGACTCTCACTAACTTATCTTCTCTATGTCATGAGTCCCTCATCTCTAAAAATAGATGCCCCCTAGAGGGTCTTCAATATTTAAATCTGTGAGCCTACCAGCCCCCAAATTCCATACTGGGTGATAGCTTTGGACTATTATAAGATGAAAAAAAAAAGCTTTTTTCCCTCCAAAAGATGGAACAGTAAAAAGAACCCAGGTTCTGAAGGAAGAGGGCTTGGATTAAAAATCTACCTGCTAAACACCTCTGAGGAGGGACAGGGTCAAAAGAGAAAATAGAATAAATGGGGGGTAGGATAGGATGAAGGGAAATAGACTTCGTTTTTCACAACGTGACCACTATGGACGTGTTTTACATGACTGCACATGTATACCCTGTATCGAGATGCTTGCCTTTTCAATGAGGGTGGGTGGGGAGGGAGGAAGGGAGAGAATTTGGAACCCAAAGTTTTAAAAACATATGTTAAAAAATTTTTTTTAATGAAAAAAATTAAAATAAATTAAAATAAATTTTAAAAAATAAAAATAAATCTACCTGCTAAAGTACTAACCATGTGACATGCATAAGCTTAAGCAGCTGCTTCATGTCCCTGGACTCACTTTCCTCATCTATGAAATGAGAAAAACAAACTAGGGAGTATCCAACTCAAATAGAAACGGATCTTTGCTGGCCACACAATGACTTAGAAAACCACAAACATTATCTAGGTTGCACTGGTGGGGGCAGCCAGGTGGCCCCACGGTGCATAGAGTGCCAGGCCCAGAGTCAGGAAGACCCGAGTTCAAATCTGGCCTCAGATACCTGCTAGCTGGGTGACCCTGGGCAAGTCACTTCACCCTGTTTGCCTCAGTTTCCTCATCTGT